AATGATTAGCAACAGGCAAAACAAGCATGATCATTTTATTTGTATTTATCTAGACTCCTCATTAGCAAGTTTGAGAGTTTCCTGATTAAGTTTTTAATGAATAAATACAAGGTACAAAGTTGTATGTCACACCAAAGGAGCCAGTCTGTCAGTGGCTAAAGCTTGTTTGCTTTCTTACAGAGAGTTAATGAGAATATCGATAGCGCTCTCAAGTCTGTACAGAAAATAAAAAGCCACAGGGAGCAGCTCAGTCTAAAGGAAACGTGAGGAAACAGCTTCTCTGGCTTTGTCCACTCGTCCGTCCATCTCATTTCTTTAATCCATATAAAAGTTTAAAAATTACATTTCTCTCTGTGCCAAAATATGTTCTGGTACTTTGTGTGCAGGCCCCGATAGCTCCCATTTGTTTGTTGGGTTGTTTGTTGATGTGCAAGATTACACAAAAACTACTGAAATGATTTCCACGAACCTTGGTGGAAGGATGCGGTATGGGTCAGGGAAAAACCCATTATATTTTGATACGGATCTGAATAAGTGGACAGATGCATGAAATTGTTCTTTTCACTTTCTTTAACAATGTGAGTTTTTCAACATTTTAGTTGATTTCTCAGAGATTATCTCATGGATCTTGATGAAAAAAGACACATTGGTATCTATGAGTGTGAGAAGTTTGGTGATTGGTGACCGTTGGGTCTTGGCAGAGGAACTTTACTGAGTTCTTCCTGCTTCAAACCATTTTTTGAACTGATGAAGAGTCAGGATGACACAAACTCCTTTAAAACGGCGATTTGTCGCTTTTACTCTTAATCTTTTCAATATATTTATGGAATAGAGATACAGCGTGATTTTCAGAGGGGTCATTTTTGGCGTTTTGACGAGTTGTTGTACGGAGCTAATGTAGCCAGCTGCTAGCTCTAATTTCATATTTATGTAACAGACGTGAGAGTGTTATCAGTGTTTGCATCTAATTCTCAGCAAGAAAGTGAATAATCTTTTTCCTTTTACTCGCTGACTAAAGATTTAAACTCCAAATGTGCAAAATAGAATTAAAACAAATTTCAGCATCACTTTTTATTTTTAATCTGACTTTTGTTGATTATTTACTTGATTATTTGGATGTTTTGCCTCAAGACATGATTATTATTTTTTTCTTTCTCCATCTGTAGCCTGTCCTGTCTTACCAGGCATCTACCACTGTGAGGCACTCATGAGGAGGCTGCTTTGCTAGCATGGGAATGCAAGACGGAACAAATCATTGAAAGACTTTAAAAAAAAAAACGGCAACATGCAGCAAAGAACCTTTTTTTTTAATTTTCTTTTACTCATTTGTACAATACTCATGATAACACAACGGAATCTATCGCTGATGTCTGAACTCAAACGGACTGAGAACTGAACCCTCACACACACTAACACATTGGAGGACAACTTTCCTACACTATTCCGAGGACAACAGCCTTACTTGATTTATCGGGTTATCTATAATCAACTAAAGCCCTGACCACCTCCTGCCCCTTGACCTCCCTGAGCACCACTACCCAACAACTGCACGCCCCGCCCCTGCTTCTTCAAGACTTTAAAAAAAGAAAACAGACAACGCGTCTGATTTCCTGGTGTTGTGATGAACTGACTCTGACTGGCTGGGATGACGTTGTTCTTTCGATGGTACAGTTTTGTCCAGATGAGTCTTTTTGCTCTGGTCTTGTACTGCCCTGTGCCTCTCAGCATTCATGGTAGCACCGAGAGAGAGTGCCAATCACAGCATCTTCTTCTTATTGTCAATTTAAAAYAAAACACTGTGTTAAAAAAAAAAAAAACGTGGCACTATCCCTTTTAATACCTTCTTTTTTTTCTTACGATGCAAATAGGAAAAATCAGTGCATTTTGTGATACTTTTTGATAGACGGGGGAATTTGACTGAAATACTTTGGGAGTGAGCGATTATAAGACAGGATCATGGAGGATCCTGACATAAATACAACCAGAGGCAAAGAGAAAAGACACAACACAAGCTTATAGAGTGTACTGACTTTGCTTCTGCATCTCACAATTATGGCAAACCAAACAAAAACATCCTCAGTTTAACCCAAATGTATTATCAACCAGCCCCGAGCACAATTTTGCACATTTCCCCCCCCCTCCCCAAACGTAGCATCTTATCATTAACGGTATCCATGCTGTTTTCACACAGACTTAGAATAACAGTACACGCAAAGTATGTCACTTGAAAATAAACCGCCGTGAAAAAATAAAAAAAAGATTCAATTCCACGACATTAAAAAGGAGCCAAGTTATTTAAGAAAATGAATCTGGTGTGGTGTTGATGCGAATGGATTTGTTATGCTGAGAACGTGACACAATCTTTTTATTTTTTTTATTTCTATTTTGAAGACTTTTCCTTCTGCTGCACTGTGACTCAGAAATGCTCGTTGTGGAGTCGACGCATATCTGTGGGCCCCCCTCCCCCCATTTCTGTGCGCTACCTGCTGTGCGTGCTTGTATGCCTTGTTTCTCTGTGTGTCCTCATGGGAGTTTGGGACTGTTACTGTTACATCACCGGCCACCGTCCTTGTTTGTGTGCTGCTGCTGCTGCGGGAGATGAGAGGGTTTTTCTGAGCTTCTCTCCGGTGTTTTCTGGAGACTTAAAAAGATGTAACCGGCCTTGTGTGCGGTGCCGTGGCTGCGTCGCCATTACCGCCCTGTTCTGACTGTTAACTGTTAGCTTCCCCTGACGATGCATGTTGGCAGTGTCTCCTCTCTGTGTGTGTTCTGTCCTCCCTTGATGCACTTGGCCTGAGCAGTCGTTGTTTGTACCGTAGCAGTGTCTCGTCTCCTCTCACTCATCTGCTTTTTATGTTCCCCCCTCACACACAAATCATCCTCATCCCTCCTCCACTGTCGTCATCCCTCCCCAACTACAGATTTTCTGTCACGTATGTTCTTCCATTTTGTGCGTCACCAAGACAACCTGCTCCAGTATGGATGCATAATATAAAAGCATTACACTTTAATGAGCAGCAGCTATTTAAAGCAAGTTTTGGTGGCATGATAATGGCTGTGCATGTACCAGTCTCTTTTAACATTGGTGTTTTCCTTGTGTAGCTCGCCCCAGCGTTCAAGTTTCCGGATACCAAGCTGTGAGTTGAAGGGGAGCGGCCGCTGTGAGCGTTTGCGTGTATTGAGTTTAGTGGGCAGAGCAGTGGAAAGAAAAGAGAGAGAGGTAAAGAGAGAGAGGAATTGAGAGGTAAGCCTTACATGCAGGGCCGACCAGCGCTGCTCTGACATTTAGATCCCACTCTGTATATCCCCTGCTCCTGCACTGACCCCCACCCACACCACCGCCGCCACGCGATATGAATCCCAACACGACACGGACGAGACGCAACCTGTTGTCCCACAGCACCGGGCGAGCGGGACCAGGTGTTTCACTCCCGTCTCCAGGAAAGGTCAGCCGGAAAGGTCAAGACTAATTCCTGGCCTCCCTGTGACTCTGATCTCATCATGTAGGTACTGTAATGTTTTAGAGCACTGTAGACCATTAATGATATAGACCATTAATGAGCATTTCTATTGATTCAGGTCTATGGGAGATAGTCACAGCAGAGGGTGAAGAGAACTGTAACAAAAATGTAGAGACAAGAAAAAAATAAAACTGTACCAGCATACGATGCTTTGCCCATGTTTGTGGACAGAGTGTGGTTCAATGGAAATGTGATACTGTCTCAAATTTCAAAGCAATATTATATTAATGAAATTAAATAAGACAATGACAAAAAGAATCCCTCTCACGTCTGTTGTCGGCATGACTTTTTGTTTTTATGGTTGAGTAATAAAAAACAGAAAAGATAACGTGACACCAGCCATTTAACAATAAACAGATAATTATTATATATTTAAATATCAGAGCAACAAATCTGATTCTGTAACGTAGATGGTATTTTCAGTATTGTTACAAACTCCTCGAACCTAGTTGATGAAATAAATTCAAATTGATTTTCAAATAATTTCCAAAAGCCCAACAAAAAAATGCAGCTTTACTTAATTTGTAAGAAAATAAGAACGCATTATAGAATGCTTTTTGTTAACAACAGCTTCAGTTATGGTTTTATTACAAAATACTGCCTTGGTATTTTTTTTCTCGTGCCGTAGTAAATATGGAGATACGATATTTCTGCCAACCTGGACAAATAATTGTGTTTAATTTTTTTATGGTGTTGCAGACTAATTAATTGTTTTATTCATTTTGTTAAAAACAGTGTTAAAGACCTTATGGGTTTTTAAAAGGTGCCCATGCATTTAAATGTTCAAGCTTCAAGATGGCGGTTTAATACAAATTAATACAATTCCTCTATGCTAAAGATCTGCAGATGACACTTTGGCTAATGGTTTGTTTACTGCTGCAGGTAACCAGTGGTGTGTATTTATTTCTGTACAATATGAAAATGTGCTCATTGACTCGCTGTTGTGTTCAACTTTTCCCCCTATAAAACTTTGTTAAAACTTTGTCGTAAAATCGATCACAGCGAACATCAATTGTCTGTAATTATTAAGTTAAAATCAAATTATTTTTGTGATTTAATAATGAGGTGCAGACTCTTCTTATCAATCTGTGTTTAAACGACATCACTGCACAACAATAAAGTCAATCTGAGAAACGTTTTTATAAACTTCTGGTTCACTGTGATGGATCATACAAGATAGTGTAAGAGTCTGATAAATCATTTTCATAATGAATAGAAACCAATGGCCTCTAGGAACTTCAGGAACAACACATCAGAACTTGCAGGATTAAACAGATAAATTTACAGATACCTGCAAGTTTATTTGTTTGGACGTCAATGTGCACACGGCTGCATGAATGAATTTAAATTATTCAATTTGGGATTTAAGTACAAATAAGCAGCTGTTCAATATCAACGCACCCCTCACTAATATCAGGTCTGGAAACACTGAGTCTGTGTTTGGTTTGAGATTTTAAGGAAATCAACAGAGAACTAACTTTGGTAATTAACACACATCTTAAAGACTATTTAAAAATGATGACCATATTTTTTGTTTTTCCTGAGCATGTTGTCGGTAACAAATCAACCAATAAAGTTTTATTTATATAGCCCTAAAAATCTACCAAACAAAACCCTATTAACACAATCACCCTTCAAACTGCACCACACTCTAATAATAATAATTCAGTGCCTGACCTATTCTTTTTTGTCTTTACACAATATTATAGTTTTAACAAAATATAATAGTATATATTTTTTTATATTAAAGTAACACACTGGAGTTTTCAAATAACAACTTTGAAATATTGTTTTGTGCGTATAAGAACTGCTCCTCATGCTGAACGTGAGGAGGTCTGAACGAGTGAACCCAAGAAAACGCTTTAAACTGTTGCTTCAACATCTCACAACTGATTTTCCCTTTAACATCAATGTTCACTGTATTAACACCAAACCTTCAAGATTAATTGTTGAGGTCACTTCAGGTCACTCAGCCGAGCTCGAGTTGTCTCCGGCCTCGGCCTCTCCTGGTGGGAACTGCAGATTCTGGACAATTGGTGTATAGAAGGGACCAAAGACCGCTTGGTTGAAGTGGACGATTTGCCCAAAGGCCGTCCCCAGCTCAGTGAGGCTGGCTCTCACCAGCCTCAGGGGGACGGGCAACTTAAGTCTGAATTTAGCAGGACCGGCCTGCAGCATGGCCCGGAGGTAGTCCTGTACCCTTTCTCCTGTGTTTGATGGAGAGAGAGAGAAAGTCAGTTTTGTGAAGCACATGGACAGAGATAACCGATGCTAAATGACATCATAATAAATGTTTCTTTTGTTGAATAAAAATCACAATGTGAGTGACGGTCCACGGACCAAAATGTAAAACTATTTCAAATGCAGTTTTAGCAGTTTTTTTCAATCAACATGAAATGTCTGAATTTTCTAAATATAAAGTGAACACATGACGACCACCAACCAGGGGTCTCCTGAATAAAGTTTTCAACACAGGATCAAACAATCAACAATTGAAAATTAATATATAACATATGAGCATTTACAATTTAAAAATTAATTGAACTGAATCAATTTTGAGGTAAAAATGCTGAACATCTCCTGGTACCAGCTCCTAAGACGTGTGGATTTTAACATTTAATGTAACAAGTGGTTGCAAATATAAACATTTGTTCAGCATTAGAGAGGAGCTGCAGCGATGGACAGTCTGAGGAAAGTGTTCTCTATTAGAGCATGTAAACCTTTTCAAGTCATAAAACAAATTAAAATTATGACCCTGAATATGAGCAGAATAATAATGTCTCCTTTAATGGTCGGATTCATTAATAATGAAAATTTGTAATGAGCTTTGAGGGGTTTGTATACTCTATCATATATAAAACATTTCCTGAATTAAATAACCACCAGTAATATCCAGCTATAAATACATGGAAATGTAAACATAAAATATAGAGTGATAGCATTTCCCCCCGTTGGTGCTTCAGGTATTGATCAGTGTCTCATGCTCTGATGGCTCTGACCTATGACTGTGCGGACGGGGTTGTTGTGTTTCCACAGGTCACATATTTGTCCCTTCAGCAGATCCTGGTTCTCCTGAGACAGCGCCGCTTGTCCCTGGCTCTTCAAAGTGTCGTTCACCTGCTGCAAAATTTTTTCCCCGAGCCCCAAAAGCGCCCCCTTCAGGTTCTCGTCCCTACAGCAACCAGAAAGCAGAAACATACATATTACCTGCAGGCTTCATTAGATGTGTATTAGGTCACAGGCAATTTATAAGCACTGATGAGAGTCCTGGGACTCACACAGGTCAATAAATTTGGGTTTGAATAACATCTAGGTCTCTAAGGAGATTTAGATTGAATAGAATTACATTTTAATAAAGGGGATTAAGGAAGAAGTGGCCTGTGCTACATTTTACTGCAGCTCAGCTCAGAGTGTGAACAGGCTGCTGTTCCACATTTATCCACTAATCATGACTGGGCTTCTCTTGAACAGAAAGAATGAGGTTAGCTGGATCTGTTCTGACAGGCCTCTTGCCTCCTGTCACCTCTGTTGGTTCTCCTACTTGTACAATACCCGTTCTTCTTGACAGCCAGTACATGCATCACTGTGTCCCCCTCTTACCTAGTGTGACTGTGCTCCAGCAAGGCAGTGATGGTCTGCCGTAGTTTACCAACAAACTCCTGCAGAAAGAAAACTGCATCCCCGCTTTGAGCCTTGGTCAGCTGCAGCACTGACGCCTCCAGGACCAGCATCTTGAGACGCAGGCCCAGAGCGTCCAGGCGAGGTTTGTTCATCAGCACGGTCTGTGTCAGGGTCACATGTGGTTATTCATGAGGAAATATCTAGCAAAACAAAATAGCTTTGTCTAGATGAAAATATTTGAAGATATATTTTTTACCTGTTTGTTTGATTCTTAGCAGGAATATGCAAAAACTGTAAAACAGATTACCGCCAAACTTGGTAAAAGGATGTGATATGGGTCAGGAAAGAACCCAGTACATTTTGATGCAGATCCGGATCAGGGGGCAGATCCAGGAAATTATTTTTCTGTGTTATTAACATTATCAAATGTTTTTTTTTAAAGAGGTGTATACTGAGTTCAGCCTGCCTGCTGAGTACAGTAAAAACTTTCTGGATGTTTTGATGATCTACCAGGGCTTTTTTTTTTATTGTAGCAAACATCCATAAATATAAAGTTTTTATCTGTAGGTGACAGTGTGGAGAAAAAAGCCACTTTATAAAGAGTTCAGATGAGGTCATTTGAAACGTGTTGGGTGGTGTTAACGAAGGGCTATTTGATTTTGTGTGTCTGGTCTGTGTGGGTGTGACAGACACAAAAGAGTGAGGATCACTGTGCCTCATGAGCTCTGATGTTTCACATGCTGTAAAACACATCAGGGTAAGGGGGAGGGGTGTGTATGTGGGGAGACTTAATACTACCTGAATAATCAATAAATTATCATTCAAATAAAAAAAGGCGTAGTGTGTGAGGCTGCAGCTGACCTCAGGATATTTCCGGTCCTGCGGGTCCCAGTGAAGCAGACGCACGTAGGCACGGTTGAGGATGTCGTTGACGGGACCATGGCCATCAGGACTGGGAGAATCTGACTCTGATGCAGCTGCCTGAAGCCAAGCGGTGGTATTATCCAGAATATCTGGAAAAAACAGTTGTATTAAAAAAGACATAAATACTGTTAATAAATGTTAATATGATAAAGAAGATATATAAAATGCAGAGTCACAGAATTACTGCTGTGTAGAAAGGCCTGGATCATCTTTGATATTTTGCTAAAGGGGGAAAAGAGGCTCTGGTTTGTTTGATTTGAATAACAGACGTACAATCAATGTTTTCTCGGTTTCATGAGCAGAAAATATTGAAAGGGTCTGAGTCATTCTAACTGGCAAAAAGAGTTTCTGTTCCGCCTGGACACAATTGCCATCTGAAGGAAATTAGTCTTCTGCTTAAGAGCTGAAATTATTATTTTATTTATAAATGAGTCAAACAGAAGAAAGATAACAATGTTATTTCATTATGTTTCAGCCTTTTTTGGACCAACATCACTACAAAACTCTGGTTCCAGCTTTTCCCAATGCGATCATTTTCTCGTATAAAAGAAAAAAACAGAGTACTTTACAGTTTGAAGATTTCACCTCAGGCTCTGGGATAATGTTTCCTTATTTTCTGACATTTTAAAGACTGAAACAAATAATCAGGTATCAAGTATAATTAAATACTTAATGATAAAATAACTGTTCAATATGGCAATATTTGACTTGTCAGCCAAAGTAATGAATTTGCTAATGATATATATCTTGGAGGACGGAGTCAGATGACTAATAGTTTGTCATGAAGGATATTTAGTAGCTGAGCCAACATGACTTTGTCAGTTTGTCACTTTGCCAGCGACTGTGATTACACAGCTGTACTCACACAGAATATTATTGGAGCCAAACAGCCACAGTTCATCAGCGATTGGCGGTGCGGCTCTACACCCAATCTGTGAGACACTGAAAAATGGCAGGACGGCACTGCGGAGCGACAAGGGTCAACATTTATTTTTAAATTGAAAAACTGGAACGGCCGATGATCATAAATCCCACACTCACAAAGTCACCTTTAGCATCTATCACTCGCATCGCAGCAGCCAGGGGAAAAGAGGTTTAAACGCACTGGAGTGACGTCCTTCACACTCACCGGGCCGCATGTCCAGGATCTTCTGGAATGCATCCCTCTTGTACTGCACGGACTGCTGCAGCAGAAAAGGCCTCAGAAAGTTTAACATGCCTCTTAGCATCAGCTCTAAGACACGGATGATGTTCCTGAGAGGAGAGCGATGGAGGAGGGTCATGTTTGGGTGAACATTATTGGAAGGTGTTATCTAAAAACTACACCAGCATGCAAACAAGCAAACTTTATTTGTGCAGCACTAGAGGAAGGGACAGAGGGCAGACAACAGAACAATAACTTTATAACCCACAAAGTGAATAAATGCTTTTTTTAGTATATAGGGCACGATTCCAGAGTCAAAGCATCAAATGCAAAAGCGCGACCACATTATGTGTTAGTGGAAATATAAAGTAGATGCATGAGACCTTATCTGAAGATAAATTGCAAGCGCAGGGATTAATACATGGCAGAAGTCTAATAAGGTTCAAATAATCTGGGTTTAGTGATTATCAGGCTTAAAGGAAACATGATGCTCATATTCAGATTCATAATTTTGATTTGTGTTTTCACTTGAAAAGGTTCACATGCTCTAAAGTTGAGATTGCTGCGTCTCCTCATTGCAGTCTCTGTCTGAAACTCTTGGTTTTAGCTGCTTTCTCTTTAAGACCTTCCTCCCGGTAAAGTATTTGCCAGGCATGCATTATGCAAATATCCGCCATCGAGATATCTGCTGTACTGCAGACAGGGTGTTTCAGGAGCAGTGTTTTCTGTGGGGGCGAGGAGCTCCCTTTACTGCACACTTTGAGCTTTCTAACTATTTAGAACTTTGACATGAAATACCTGTAAAACACACGAGAGGAAAGAAAAACTGTAAAAAGCATCATGTGTCTCCTTTAAGCTTATTCTGAAAAAATGGCTTTAATCTGACCGTCACCTCAGCAGCTTCACAGGGTCCTTCAGGTCGCTCAGTGCCTGAATCTCTTGGTCTTCATATGGGGCACAGTGAGACGCCATGGTGTTAATGATGAAGCGCATCAGCCTGTGGAGGTCCAGCACCCCGTGATCGGCCTCCTGCTGGATCAGCTCCATGTCCAGGACCTCATCTATCTGAGATCTCTGTCTGATGTTTTGGGGCAGCACCAGCGACTGAAGGGTCTAATGGGAGACATGGATGCAGGTGCAGTTTATATACACGCAAAGAAACTTTTGGTTTATGCTTCAAGGTGAATGTGAGCATGTGTCCTCTGGATTATTACAAAGACGTTTTATCTAATAATAAAAAACATATTATCAGAAGCTGCACATTAAAGAGATTTTATGGCATCATTTTCACTGCAGCTGTCCAAATTAAAACCAGCCATGTGTCTCTGCTCCATCTCCATTCACCAGTCAGTGAATTCAACAGGTGAAATAAACCACAAGCTATTACTCAGGTTAGTATGTTTGGCAACTGCTGCAAAAGTATTTCAGTATTTTATCTGAACTTTTCAGATAGAAAAACCCTGAACATTTTAATGATGAATTTTAATGTAGAGATTGGTTGATATGGTTGATTATTGATTCGTTTGAGTAAAACTTGAAGAGAAGATGAGCATTTTTCTCATTATTTTAATAGCTTCTGCCATTATTCGATGTTAATGTTCACTTTTTAAGACGTTCCATTACTGTCCTGCTTCAAATAAAGTGTAACAAACCAAAATTGACAAATGATGGGAAGTGATGATTAGATTGTATAATATTATGTTTATCACTGATCATATCATATAATTCAGTTTTTGACTTACAATCTTGATCTTCTTCAGCACAGTGACAGCATGAGTGTAGTTGGGAGGATCAGAGTTCAGCTGCTCCTGGAGGGCGTCCCAAAAGGCCCGTTTATTGAACTCCGTCTCTCTGTTCACCAAACTACAGAGAGAAGCACATTTGGAAAGAACACCGGTAAATAGAGACAAGAGTAACCAGGGCCACGTTACTGAGGTGGAGTTTGTCTTGCCTGTCCATGGGAGTCTCCTGGAGTTTGAAGCATAATTCTCTGTTCATTGTGATCTTGTGTGGAAGGTTCATGCTGGAAATACGATTCTCCAGCTCCATCAGACCGGATGATGAGGTGGTGGGTGGGCTCTCTGACACAACAGACAGGACACCCACCCACAGATAATTAAAACTGCCACCGTGCTGATACTTCAATCACTAATGGTCCCTGAACGTGCCTTAAAAACAATAAGTGCTATAATAAAGCTGCATACCTGGAGGAGAGTCACGTTTTTCCAGACGGGGAAGGTCATCAGCCGCCTTGTCCCCTTGATTTGCCATTTCAGCAACAGTCTAATCATTTCAAACAGTGAATCATAAGAAAGACACAACTTAAAGAAACTGGTTGTTCACCAAATCACTTAGTTAGAGAAACAGCATTAGATGATTAATTGATGATGTGATGAACAGATCAACAACCAATTATTACTTTGAAAAATTACTAAAATAGTCACTGAATTGATTTTGATCTTTTCTTTGTTTCAAATAAGAAACAGGATAGCCACGAGGTCTTTACTGTCTGTGGGACAAAAGAAAACATTTGATGGTGTCATTTCAAGCTCTGGGGAACTGTGACGTACGTTTCTGACAACAAACTGGTTGATGAAGAAAATAATCATACATAAATAATCTGTATACAATAGTTTAAACTATAGCTTCACCTCAACCTCATAATAATCTGATGTACAGTGTAATATATGAGCATCACTCCACTCAGGGACAAACAAGAAGCCGCCACAACATCCTCAGATATATTGGTCAGTGACAACATCACTGAGGAAACTCTTGTTTTGGTCTCCTCCAGTTCACTGTGCTAGCACCACTCAACCTGTAGTACTACTACTACTACATGTGCCACTACATGTAGTAGTGATCTGTGATATATATAGTGAACTACATGCAGCACCTCAGGATGTTGTGGCTTCTTGTTCTTCTCTTATTGGAGGGATGCTCGATCCAGCTCGTTCATTTTTACTCAATCATCATTTCACAATCAAGACCAAGAATTGGCTCCTCGTCTTCATGCAGCATCTTTATAACACTTTCAGCTGTGACTCTGGAATGTTTGGGACGAGCCACACTAACACACTAGATAAAGAAAATCAAACTCACGAGGAAATATTGTCATATGTACATCAATCAGTCTATTTGGTTTATACTGTTCTACTCTGAGTTTTCTTCTGTTGATCTAGCTTTGGTTAGCTAGCTAGAAAGGAATATGTCAGTTACATAGACTGTATATAAAGAGGTCAGTTAGCTCAAAGCTAGCTAGCATCGTATTATATATACATATTTCTCCTTCTCACTGGTAATGAGTTGTGAAATAAGACTCACACGCGTCATGTGAGCTGAAGGACATGTGTTCAGTAGTGAAGATATTCATGTGCGGGTCACTTTGACTCATAAAACTCATTAAAAGTTAATTAATTGACAGACGGTTAAACTTACCTGATTTTCCCGCTTCAACTGAAAACGTCTGGTTTCCAATGATGACGTTCACACCCGGACCGAACCATTCTCGCACGAATACGGGGAACTTGAATAGAATTAGACGGTTAACTCATCCATACTTTATCCAATCAGTATTTGACGAACTTTTTTTTTTTTTTTTTACGAACTTTATCAACACGTTACATGTCCAATTTTTGCGCATTTATTCGTAAAACTATTTTAAAAAGCGTCGTCATCGTATATGGTTCGGTCCGATCGTGAATCAAAGCAGCGGGTTAGTTCTTCTTCTGTGGTACAGTGGAGACAAACTGCTGCTGAACAGTCATAACAAAGATAACATGTCCCACGTGTCTCTGCAGCTCTGATACAGGAGCTGCACATGATCTGAATTCATACACAGCTAGTTTATTGTGCTGCTTCACTCACCTGCACCACAAGTGTGTTTTTCTATGACTCTCTGTAGACTCATCCTGGATTATCAGGTGATTTGTGTTTGTGTTCACAATTTAGTCAACGGATTGAATCATTTCAAACAATTCTGCACAAACTCAAATTATTTATATGTTGTATTGTGTTGTAGTTTTGTTAGAATATTAGTTACCTCCACAGAGCGAGGAGGGTTTGTTTTCACCCCCGTCCTGTGGTTGGTTTATTTGTCAGCAGGTAAACTACAGACAGAGTCATCAAAGCTCGGTTTTGACAAAGAGGCAAAACCAGGAATTTTTTCTAGCACTTTCTTTTACATTGTGAGATTGGAACTGTTGGACCTTGGTGGAGAAATGTGCTATAGAGACTTTCTATTATTGTTTGTTCTGATTTTCACCCTTTATTACTAGAATGTTATTGTAGTTTTAATACGTTTTAGTACTTTGTTAAATCTCCCCGTAAGTGTCCAAATTCAAGTACATCTCATTTAAATACTATAACATGTTCTAAAATACTTGAAGATTTGATTTTACTTGACAGAACTTTTTTACCTGATCAATGATAGAAACATTCAAACATTTGATGGCTCAAATCTCAAAACTCTGTGGTTTACCTGCATATGTGGAACTTAAAGAAGAAAGTAACATATAACAAATACAGGCCAAAGCCTGAAAATAC